AAATACGCCTGTTTTGTTCACAGTTACGGCGAATACAGTAACATATCCTTTGGCGTCATGGACTGAACAGCGTTCAGGGAGTAAAATGCAAATGATGTTTGTAAACAGGTAATTCAGTTCTTTGCTACTGCTAACTTCGAAAGGACCTCACGAGCGTTACTGAATTTCCTGTTGGTAGTCACTATAAGTTTCCACCATTTTATCATAAACATAAATGTCTACGGGATACAGAAGTCATTTACCATCAGTTCAGTTTTGAACTCTAACTCTTGATATATTATCCAATGAACTGACCCTTGGCATTCAACGCCATCATTTATGAGTCTTTCTGCTGTGGTACCTCGATCACAGTATTCCCATGGTAGTCACTTCTTGAAACACTCGGCGATACCTCCACAGTCTTTTCATGATAAAGAGCCACAGAATGCTCCTCGCTGTGCAGGATTGCAAGGAATGTCTATCTGTGATCAAGGAGATTTTCAAATAGTGACTTGGAGACATATTTTTCTTCCGTAATTTCGCTGTGGAAACAAAATCACGGCAGAGGTCTACTAGAAGAAAGCAAATGCGTAGTCGCTGGAAACTAGCATTTGACGTCATCGTTACCTCACTGAGGAGCAGAAAATACAATGAGCATCTCAAACGCTGTGCTCATACGTGAGGTGAGAACAGGTGGCTATTGCTGAAGCGTGAATTATACGACGGCGTTGATATGAAAAATGTGTGGCCAACGTGGTACGTTCGAGAGAACATACCCCTTGGGCATTCGGTACTGACAAAGATCGATCGCCATTCTGTATTAATCATTACTTTAGGATAGTACTCAGGCGTACGTTATTAATAAAGTCGTAATAAATGCAACTCACCTGAAATTCGAAAACCACTTGACCAGTTGGGCAGTGTTGTTTTTGTTGAAACGGATATCGGGGAAGAACGCCTTCAACAAGGAACTGCTCGGATAACGACTGAAGAAGAACATTAGCTTCGCCTTGCGCAAGTGCATCGGGGTGAGGGTGCAGCTGCAAATAAGCAGGTTGTTGATCGAAAAAACAAACCACATGGTTCAAAGAACCTACCTGAGAGACGAGAGGCCCGGATCGAATCCGTTCGCTTCCGAGTAGTCAATGGCCGTCTCTGAGTCAACGTCGTCCGAACTGACTACATCCAGCTCATCATCGTCCAGGCCATAGGTGCAGTTCAGCGCTCCTCCACGAGACACCATTGTTGGCGGAGCAGCATAACCGGC